CTGAGGATGATTCCAGGCCGGTCCCTTAAGGGGCCACGAGCTCATCCGGAGCCCTTGGGATGGGGCCGTTTCTTCTTCGCCTTCCTCTGCTTTCAGACAGTGCCTTCACTAGAAGGTGGAAGTGCAGACCTAGATCAATGGAACTTTGTCTTTCTCGGGTTATTTCTTATGAGGCGCTCATCGGGGCCCGCAGGCGAGGACACTGGGGTGAGGAGACGGCGTCTTTGAAGGGCTGGGCCTCGAGCGAGTAAGGCAAGGCTCTTCCGAGCAGGGCGGTCCGCAGTGTTCACTCTCAAAAGGGTGAGTGAGGTGGGAAAGTTTTAGGCGCAGCCCAGCACGGCCACTTACCCCAGCGAGCACCCCGGGGGACCACGGACTCGCTGGGAGCGAGCACCTCCTGCACCCCAGCTTGCTCCTCTGTGCCAGGGGCACAGCAGCTGCTCCTCTTTCACCATTTCCAGGGACGATTTCGTGAGAACGGTGCCTGGCGGGCAGCATGTCCCCACCGGTGGCCACTGCCCCTCCTGAGCAGGCCCCGAGCAGCTCTGAGGCCAGGACAGACCGTGGCCGCCCGAAGCAGCCCCCCACTCTGTCAGGACAAGGGAACCCCAAGACTTTATTCCACTGACTTTCGGGTGCTGGTTCTTTGCTCAGACGCAGGATTCATAAACACAGCCTGGCTTTTCTTTGTAGAACTCTCCTCATGTAGGGGCAGGGCGGGCAGGGGGCCGGGGGCCAGGAGGCTGCCAGCCCCAGCCCCGTCGAATCTTTACTCTTTGACTCTCGCTGGCGTCGTCTCGCAGCCCCGCCTCACCACACTCACTGCCTCTCTTGGCCGCACTCACCGTCTCTCTGAGCCGTCCTCCTGGCTGAGTGACGCCGCCCTTACAGCCTCCGCCTCCAGGCTCAGCTGTGACCACTCGCACGGCCCACACCATGCTGCAGGTGCCCACCATCAGGCCCGCGGGCCCCGCGCCCACGCTCACAGGCGCGTACTGCATTAACACGATGGAGGCTGTGGGTGGTAGCCAGAGACCAGCAGCGTAAAAGCCTGACCAGTCCACTTAGCCCACAGCTGAAAATTCACCTTAAGCATTTTTGAAATCCTTTGTTACTTGCAAGCATCAGCAGAAAGGCAAGACGGTGCCGAACTCCCGCGGGCGAGGCTTCATGGTCTCAGCGTCCTTGTACTGCTTCCTTTTTTTTTAAATTTGTTTTGTTTTTTTAAATAAACTTATTTTGTAAGTGCAGTTTTGCTTTCTGTTCTTGGTGCAGCTTGACAGTTTCCATATTACGTATTGCAGACACTTTATAAATGTCCTTTTTAATGATTGCATAAATTTCCATTATGTTCCTGGTTCATAACCGATCAAATCATTTACTTCATAATTGGATGTGAAGATTCTTTTAAATTATTTATCGTCTCTGTTCTTAAGATTATTTCTCCTACTGGGTGTTATATTGAGAACACTACAGATACTTAAGATTTTTCTAGATAGGGTTTTAAATTGATGGCTATCTAATAAGTTGACGGCTTAACATAATTGCCTTTCATCTTGCAGAGCTTGTTAATATACTTGCAAAGAGCGAGGAAAAATGTTTAATCTCCTGGTGGACTTGAGTGATTGCTTGAGGGATCCCAACCCGTCGCATGTAATTTCAGTGGAAAACAAGGGGAGCTGGCGCTGACAGAGGTGGTTGGCAGGCTCGAATTGAGGGCGGTGCCCGCGAAGGACGGCCTGTCTTGCGACACGCACACCTCGGACATGCCCGGGTGGGTCCAGAGCTGTCGGCCGCGTGTCCGAGGGAAGGGCTGACAGAGAACAGCTGACCGAGACGGAAGCCGCATCAAGCCACTACTGCCTCCTGACCTTGTTCTGCATTTACAGCTCATAACAAAGAAACCCCTTTACTGTTTAAGCCAGTTTCAGTTTTGTTTCTGTTACTTGCAATCTAAAAATCTTAAAATGATGCACCTTAACCTTGAAACATCATTCGTGTTTAAAGTAGGTAAATGACTTGGATCTTTAAAATGGCACTTGGTATATGTTCTGTCTTCCTATTTTTGGGTAGAATTAGTGAACTTCATATCACAAGAGCAAAGGGTCTAAAGAACTTCTAAGGTTACAGTTTTGTCTTCACGTGATTTAAACTATCACAATGACTTTATTCTTTCAAACTAACCCAGTGCACTTAATTTCAGGTCAACGGTGTTGACATTATTTTAGATTTTTAAAAGCAATTGAAATACCTTATGAAGTAATTGTGCTTTGTATTGTGAATGCACAAAGCACCCAGGGAGATAAGCTCTCCGCTGGAGAGTCACCCAGCGCTTCTGCTCCGTGGAAGCTTTGAGTCTTGGTGGAGTACAAAGCATCGGAGCAATTTTCTGATAAAATTACTTCTTTACTCCAGCCTTAATCTGGGCTCATTTTATTAGCATACGTAACTTTTACGGCCCCCTTAGCATTTAGAGAGCAGTAGGAACTTTATTCTGGACTGGGCCTGGAAACAGCCGTTCTTTGAGGAAAATGCACGGCCGTGGGTGCCCTGCCATGCTGTCCTTGTACAAAGAAAGGGTGTCTTTGTACACAGAGTCTCTCGATTTAGGTGGTTCTTTATTCCTAGAATTCTTGTTTGACCCTTTTTTTAGGAATATGGGTTCTCGAGTGAATTTTCCTATCTTGCTGTCTGCTAAAGACCGTGTTAATCCATTAATTAAAAATCTGGCACTACTCTCTGCGCGGCCTGTGGACCTGCTGCTATCCCTGCTGGTAACTGTGGCATGCTAGCTGGCTCACCTGGCCCCTGGAAGGTGGACGGTTGGGAGTCCATGGAGAGCTTCTGGGCCCTCTCCTGTCTCTTCGCTACCTGCCAAGAGGCAGATCGTTGTATAGGGCCCGCCCACCGCCGCACTGGCCGAGGCTCCGCAGCCTCTGAGAAGCCGTTCTCGTTATCTGGCCTCGGCGTGTTTCCTCGGGTCCCTGCTCCTCTGGGCCCCACGCCCATGTTTCTCTCTACAGTGAGGAGGCCGCTGAGACGGGCCTCCTGGGATATTAAGATAATTTTTTCTTGTGTCATTTTTGATTACCCTCCCCACCCCTGCCAAGGAATGCCTTTCTTTCACTGCGATTTGATGGCCGACGGTCATTTAGAATATTCCGCTGTCCTTTTACTGAGTAGAGAATGTGCACTTTTTGTTCCTGAGCTAGGTGATTTGTGTACCCCCCCTTTTTTCTTGATCAGCTTTTCTACGGGTTCATCTATTGTATTATTCTTCCGGAGAACCAACCTTCCCCCACCTTCTTTTAAAATTAAAGTAACATCGCGTCGTAACATACAAGTCTCAGGAGCCTCCTTGAGCAGCCATGCGTGTGCCCCACATGTTCCCCACGGAAGCTCATGTCCCTCCACCCCGGCGCCCCCACTTGCTCTCCCCCTTTAGACCCCTGGAGGGTCTGAACGCCCCTCAGCCCTCTGCTCCCCTCGGTGCTCCCATCTCGTGAGGGCGCCCACGAGCCACTGTCCTCCCTCTGCCCTCCCCTGCACGCTCCCCTCCGGCCCGCGGCGTCTGGGGCAGGGCTGGGCGGCCCGGGGCGCGCTCACCCGCATCTGACCCCCAGCTGGCGCTGGCGCTGGCGCTGGCTCTGGCTCTTCCCAGCTTCAGAGAACCAGGTTTTGATTTTGATAATTTAAAAATTGTTTACTGTTTTTATCGATTGTTTCCTTTCTCTTTCTTTTAGATTTAATTTCATGTTTTTTTCTCCAGCTTTCACAACGGAAACTTACATAATTTATTTTGGGTGCTCTTCTTTTCTAACATCAGCACTTAAAGCTGTAAATTTCCCTTTGTGCGCTGCTGCAGGCCCATCTCATATATTTTGATGTTGTGCTTTTATTGCCTGTTAGTTAGAAATATTTCTCAAATTTTCCTTGTGTACTTTTTGTCCGCGTGTTGCTTGAATTTCAAGCATCTGGAGTTTCCGTGGCAGTGTGCTTGCTGCTTCTGCTCCGATGCCGTGTGGCGAGGGGCGACTCCTCTGGCTCCAGCCCAGTGGGATTTCCTGAGGCTTGGTTTGTGGCTCAGCGTGTTCCGACGGTTTGTCCACGCGCACTCAAAAGCCCTTGATGCCAGTTAGAGGTGGCGGCGATTCGTTGCACCTGCCGTAGCCTTCCCCACCGCCCGCTTCTTTCAGTCATTTTAACAGAGAAAATCATGGCTTTTTCATGGCTGTAGTCACAACAGGTGTTGCTTCCCAATGGGAGCTCCGCTATTCCCAAATTTCTGACCTCTCCCAGACGGGCGGAGAGAAGATGTGGGCTGCAGGCCAAGCGCAGGATGGTCCTGTGGCTGCACTGTCTCAGTTTCCTTGTTTGCAAAATGGCCCTGTGTTCGGACCAGTGCTTTGGGCCCTGGAACGGTGACGAGCCACGGAGTCTGGGGGCTGCGGGACACCCCACAGTAAGCAAACGTGAGGTGCTGCCCTGTGCCCTCTTCTCCCTCCTGGTGAAGGGCGTGGGGACGGGTGGAGAAAAGCAGCCTTATCCCACTGAGCTTGCGTTTGCCTCCTGAGCGTTGACTCCAGGTCATCCCCCTCCACACCTGCTGTGCAGGTAGATGCCGTGTCCCTGGGGCGGGCTTGACGCTTTGCTTGGTGCTCTGCTTTGTGCCTGTCACCACTGTGGAGATCCTTGTCAGGTCATAAAATGTGCCGGTTCTTGGCCCTGTGTGACTACAGACTTCCTTGGAATCTAGTCAGGATTTATTTTCTTGAAAATGGACCCGCCTAGGAGATACAGCCTGCTTTTCATCCAGAGGGCTGTGAGTGCAGCAGCTGCCAGTGGCCACTGCAACGGGCTCAGTCAAAGCCCCACTCTGTCCCCAGCTCTGGGTTATGGCGCCTGTGTTTCTGCATTGTCGGGGTTGGGTTAATAATTTAATTTTTGCCACCTTTGCTTTTGTCGCATGCATCGTTATCTTGTTCCTGTTTTCTGTGCAGAAAAGAAAGACGTGACGCAGAGCCTGGAGAGTTACACCTCCAAGTGCCCCGGGACAATGGAGCTCATCAGCCTCCCAGATGGCCTCGTCCTGCCACCTGTGCCCTTCACCAAGCTCCCCATTGTCAGGTGAGCCGGGCTGCCGGCGGAGGGGCTGCCAGCGGGACACCATGCGGCCGTGGCTCTGGAAGCCGCCATCCCTGGCTGGCTGTGCATGTGGCGCAGCAGCCCCTGAGAGCAGGCCTGTCAAGCGTGGGTATTTCCTAGGTGAGGGAGGCACGCTGGTGACGTCACGTTGCACACATAATGCGCTCTCAGCCCATTACCCTGTGAGCTGCAGCTCCCCAAAGGGGCCGTCCTGACAGGGGCTCTTGTGCTGGAACTCCTTGAGGGAACCACCCTGTCATGGGGTCAAGGATGCTGCCGCTGCTCGGCCCTGGCCCAGACTGCAGGCCAGCGTGCCTGCTGGGCCTTCCGGCTGGAGCTGCAGTGGGGCGCGTTCATGTGGGGTCAGGGCTTGCTGCCCTTTTTTTTTTTAGTTAAATACTAGAAAAGACTTTCTTATTACTGTTTTATCTGCTCCTTGATCGGGGTCATTCCTAAATTCACACAGCCTAGTGCTACAGAACATCCCGAGCCTAAGGAACATTCTAGATGTTTGATGCTGCTTTGGCATCTCCAGGCTCTCTGGCCTTTTGTCAGGCTGGGGCCGTGCTGGCTGGTCAGTGGAGCGCAGGACATGCTGTGCCTGTCCTTGCAGACTCGAAGCAGCGCAGCAGAAGATCGAGCTCTTGGGTTAGTTCCTCGCCAGCCTGTGGCCTTGAACCTTGGCCTCTGAGCCAGTGTCCTCAGCTTTAAAAATGGCTTTTAAAATCATCCCTCTTGAGGGCTGTGTTTAGCCGAGCTGGTGCTCACAGCAGCCTGGAGCACGTAGTCGGTGGTCAGGAAATCTCAGCGCTTGAAGACATGTTACACCTACATTTTAAAATAGCACATTGCTTAAAAAAATAGTATAATATTAACATGTTAATTCTTTAACTGTCTGAAAACATCAGCTTAAACAGATTGGGTAAAAGCATAATAGTCTGGCACTTAGGCAGATACTGCTAGGTCCGCTGTGGGCACTGAGTTTTGCGGCGTCTCTCACCAGTGGTGTCTCCGCGGCCCGGGCCGTATGGGGGTGCTTGGCCCGGCGGCCGGCACCTTTTCTGCTGCTCGGTGTCGTCAGCGCAGTTTTTAATAATCTGATTTTATGCACTGCCCACCGTCTGGTAGGTGTTCCCAGTGGGTTTGTAAAGAAATGAGCCCTGTGTGTTTTGATGACTCAGTTGTCGTGCCAGTCACACATGATCCCACAAAATCCGGAAATACTACACAGGCTTGGGTGTGGGGACCCAGGGGGCGACTCTTCAGCCGCAAGGGCATTGGCCCCGTTGGCAAAATGAAAGAATTGAAAAGCCCGAGCGCCTGGCCGCCTGCTTGCCTCGCGTGTCCTCCAGGGCCCTCTGCAGCTGGCTCTGTCCCCAGCTCTGAACGCGAGCCCCTCACTCCTCGATCCATAGACCCCACACCTGTGTGCAGGTACTTAAGAGGAGGCCGAGTGTGCCAACGGGTTTTATACCTCGGTTCAGGCTTTGCCTCCCTACTCTGCCTGGTGGTACTCACTCATCTTTCAGTTTCCTTCAGGAATTGTCTCCTCCATAAAGCCTTTCTTTGAAGCCTGCCTAGTGAACTATGAATTATTTCAGCTGCAGAGAGCAGAGAACCTTACCGTGGACAGCCCCTGCAGTGGTTATTTCCATGTTTATTAGGAAGGGGGCCTCCGTGCAACTCTGTCTTTACCTCACGACCGCCAGATGGCTGCTGTAGCTCCAGAGAACACATCTGCATGCAGGGCAGGAAGACCAAGGGAGGGGTCGGGGCAGGGATGCTTAGTGTTTGTTTGCTAGGAAAACAAAATGCTCCTGGCAGATTCTGCCCGCCTCACTGAGGAGGAGTGTGTCTCTGGCCGCCTCCAGCTGTGACAGGCTGAGGAGACAGGTGTAGTACAGCTCTCCCGGCCTCTGCCATGCATGTGGGCTGGGGGACGGGATCCGAAGCCGGTGTGCCTTGGCCCTCCGACAGCCTGTCTGCCCCGCTTTCTCCCTCAGCACTTGCAGAGGGGACTGTGTGTCACTGTTGGCAGCTGCTCCCCGGCTCATTAAACTGGGATTTAAGGAACCCCCTTCATGTGAAATTGGAGAAGTCATTGTTCTCCCTTTGGTGGGCTTGCACTCAGATCCCATTAGGGCCCAGGAGCGCACCCACGCCGCCAGAGCCTTCTCTGCAGGCGGGTCTCATTCAGGTGCCAGGTGTGCCTCCTCGTGGGCCACCCGACTGTCCCCTGCCAGCTCTGACTTTTGTTGTTTGAATGTGTTAAGCTGAATCTGAATTGTGACGTCGCTCTCACGATGCTGCCATGTGACTTTATTTACCTACAATTGCTATCATCAAAAGCCGGGGAGTCTCCGTGAGTTGGGGAGTCTCCGTGAGTCTGAGCGTCTCCGCGAGTCTGTGCGCCCCCGCCCATGGTCCAGCCGCTCTTTGTTTTTCTAACACGTGGCACTTGGTGTGTTTATGCCCACGCGAAGCCAACCAGGCAGGTGACGTGTTTGTGTCCACTTGAAACAACAGGCACGTGAAGCTGCTGAACCTCCCTGCCAGCCTGCGGCCCCAGAAGGTGAAGAGCTTGCTGGGGCAGGGCGTGTCGGCCAAGAGCCCCTTCATCTACTCGCCCATCATCGCGCACAGCCGCGGGGAGGAGCGCAGCAAGAAGATCGGTAGGCCTGGCTGGCCAGCGGCTGCCTCCCTCCCTCCCTCCCCGCCTGGGTGTCTGACACTCGCCTTTAGTCCTGCCCGTGCGCGGGCAAGTGTACACGGGTGTGCTGGTGTGAGCGCACGCTCATGGGTGCAGAATTATTACGAATTTGGAGATGGCAGCAGCGGGACCTGGACCAAATGTGGCCTCTGAACCTGGCCTCGCTCCCGTGGCCACTCCTCTGAAACCCGCTCTGCCTTTTCATTCTCGTCCCCCGGTCCTAAGCAGTGGGGCCTCTCCGCGGGAGAATGCTGCTCTGGCTCATCGCGGGGGCTTCCGCGCAGTCCAGGATGCGCTGGGCGCTCACTCTGCTGCTCACCGCCCTGCCTTTTCGTGAAGCCCAAGCAAGCGCATGGCTGTGCAAGGGCTTCTTAAACAGCCTCCCGGGGAGGCTTATTTCATGGCCTTCAGGGTGCCGGCTCTGGGTACCGCACAGGCCAGGCAGCGCCTGTGTAGTCTCTGCGCCAGCTGCCCCACATGGCGTTTGGGAAGGTGGCGTCTGCATGGTAGCACTATGGGTGCTGATCAGCCCCTGGGCCATCCTAGATCCCCATGAGCGCCAGGGCCTGGACTTGGGTGCTGCCGCCCGCTCACCTGCTGCGGGCTCCTGGGCTCATCCATTAATCTCTTTGGCCTTGAGATGCTTGAATCTGTCTCTTCGGGAAGCGTTTCCCCATGAGGACTTTACTGATTAGATCAGGCCCACCCAGGAGACTCTCCCTTTTGATAAACTCCAAGTCCACTTACTGGAAACGTAATTGTGTCTGCCAAATCCCTCCCCCCAGTCATGTGACCCATCTGATCACTAACCATGCCCAGGAGCTCCCGTCTGTCTTACATGAGCCAAAATGGCTGTCCTGGTCACACGTGGGGGTTGTGGGGGGAGAGGTACGTGGCAGGTGCACCCAGGCTGGGGATCTTGGGGGAGTCACATCAGAATAGAGCCTCACTGGTGTTGAGCTCAGTGGCCTGGGTGGTCTCTCTGTCTCAGGGCGGGGGTAGGGCAGCCAGCTTCCCACGTACTGCCTCTTGGCCAGCGAAGTTCTGTCACCTAACGTGCTGTCCGATTGGTCTGGTTTTGCGGAGCTGCGCTGGGTGTGCCGGTGTGAGTCAGCCCCGCAGAGCGGGGACGGCGCCCATCACATCCCCTCCCGCCAGCGGCGGCTTTGCCTGATTGTTTCAAGGTGGTCACCGGTACGCGGACCAGCAGAGGCGTGATTGAAGCGCCGAGAGCCGTGGGAAACGCCAGCTAACCCGCCTCTGTGCTGTGCTCCTAGATTTCCAGTGGGTCCAAGGAGACGTGTGCGAGGTGCAGCTGATGGTGTACAACCCGATGCCCTTTGAACTCAGGGTTGAAAACATGGTACGTGTCCCCCGTCGTCTGACCCGGGCTTTACAGCATCACGGGGGCACGTCCTGTGGGGTGCGCCCGTGTGCATGTCTGGGCCACAAAGCATGAGATGCCCTCAGCTCTGTCTGGTCTTGGAGCTGACTCAGTGGGGAGATCCTTCCTGTGGGCGCACGGGCGCCGCCGACTGGCCTGCGCCTGCCCTGCCTGCGCGTCTGCCTTGCTTGTTGCCACAGGCGGTCAGGTAATCCAGGCCTAGTAAGGGCCAGTGCGGGCTGGCAAGAGTTTAAGTTCCCATCGGCCTTCAGTTTCTGTTCTGTGGCGGGTGCTAGAGGCTCCCTCTGCAGGGGTGTCCGATGGAGTCCCCCCCTTGATTCCTGTTCAGCGGGAAGTTGCTGAGGACTAGCTCTCCAAGCTCATGCTGACACTGCCAGGGCAAAGCCAGCCGCCCCACGAGTCTTCTGACACTCACCTCCCGTCCTGCTCTGTGTCTTCTCAGAGACCTGCAAGCTCGGTGTCGAGACAGCCGGCACACTTTCAGCATTCCACGACTGGCATTGGGGTGCCAGGTGGGCTTTCTGTTCAATGTCTTGCTGAGTGCCCATGCCCTTGGGTGAGGCTCTGGGCCCTGGCCGCTGCCCTGACGGCCCTCAGGGTGCGGTGGGGGTGCCCGTGGAGAGATAGGGAGAGCTTCGGGGAGACCTGCTGGCTCAGCTGAGATCCAGGCTGAGTCTTAGTTCTCCAGGCAGGCCGGAAGCTGTTGAAGACGGTGTCTAGGGAGCCGGCCTCAGGCATGGCTTCCCCAAATCAGCTCGAGCTCTTAGACACTTGGCTGAAGACTCAGCTCACCGTCCTGTGGTCACGCAGAGTGGACCTTTGAGGATGAGCATTTTCTTCCTCCTGCTGTACAGGGTCACGTTTGTTTGACTATTTGGCTATTGGGTCAGGCCTGTCAGACTTTCTGGGCATAATGGTTGTTTAGAGAGTTTTCCCCAAGTGTTAAGTTAGTGTATTCCTGCCGTTCTTCCTTACTGTAGAGGCAGGATGGGCCCAGGGCAGGATCTCTAGGATTCAAGCAGATGGGTGAAGGAGGGAGTCCTGGAGCCCTCGGTGGCTTTTGCAGGTTTTATTATTAACCAGATACACAGCAGGTGGGGGTGCCGGGGGGCCAGGAGGCTGGTAGTCCTCCTAGCCCCCAGAAAATCTTCACTCTTTCTGGGCTCTCCGGCGTTCTCTCGTGCCCTCTCTTTCGCTCTCGTTTCTTATGCTATTCTGCTCTCTGCTCTGCTGGCGTCCCCTTGACGCCGCCCTTATAAGCCCGGTCTCAGCCCAGGTGTATCCACTTACATAGGCCCACACCCTACTCCAGGTGCCCGCCATTAGGCATCACTCAGGACCGCAGGGATCCATCATCCATCCTAATGACGGGAGGGCAGAAAAGCCTGATCCTTTTTTACCTTGCCCTACACTTACACATCTGTTTTTTTGTCTTAAGAAGTAGCTTTCATTTTTAACAGGTTTAAAAAGAACATGAATTTTAAAATAAAAAATTAGAAAAAAACCCCAAAGAACAAAATAAAAATTTCTAGTAGGACAAAGCCCACAAATCATGGTCTCAGGTTTAAAAAATTGAAACAGGAATTATTTCAAGCATAGGAGATATTATGGAGAATGATAAATACTCACGTAATCCACCATTCACTTTTAGCAAATGTTAGCAGTTGTCCATATTTGCTTTAGCTGTTTTAAAAAGAAATAAAATGCCAATATATTTGGCTTAGAGAAAATAACCCTGTAACTGACCTCTACCTCCGCCCTGGCCCGTGTCCGGGGTGCATGCAGCAGCTCTTAACCTGGCTCAGGTGTGCTCTCTGCCGCGGGGGCTGTTTGCCTCCGGGTGCATTCTGTGGACCGAGCTGGGGTGTGTGTGTGTGTGTGTGTGTGTGGTGTGTGTGTGTGTGTGTGTGGTGTGTGTGTGTGCGCGTGTGCGCGCGCGTACGCGCATACACAGCATGCACTGACACGGGTGCCGGGACGTGCAGACACGCCGTGCCCGTGCGTGTGCAGCACACACAGGAAAGCGGTGCGTTCCCATTTAGATCCCCATTTTATAAAACAACAAAGCAAACATCGAAGACGCAGCAAGCGGGCCGGCACCAGGCTGGGGCTGCCTGAGCAGCTCGGCGCTCTCCTTCCGGGACTGGCTCGTGTTCCTCCCACCTTCAGGCCTTTCAGAAAGGGCGCCAGCTCTTCTCCCTGGCGACGCCTGCCTGCACCACAGTCCCAAGACCCAGGCTGCGCTTCTCAGGCCGCCCTTCTTGCCGCAGGGGCTCCTGACGAGCGGAGTGGAGTTCGAGTCTCTGCCTGCAGCGCTCTCCTTGCCAGCCGAGTCCGGCCTCTACCCCGTCACGCTGGTCGGAGTCCCGCAGACGACCGGGACGATCTCTGTGAATGGTAAGGACGGCTCCTCCGGGTCTTCAGTGGGCTGCTGAGCTGTGTCCTGCCTCAGCGACTCCCCTCTTAGTTCTGGAAACACCCAGTGCCAAGCCTTGCCCAGGTGTGTGCGCCCTTTGACGTCCTGCCCAGCTATGCTGGCCCCTGCGCCTCCCCCGTTTCCTGGCTCAGAGTCCCTGCCCCGGAGCTGCCCCAGTGTCCAAGCCCTGGGCCAGGAGAGCCGCGCTCCTCCGCGCATTGCTCACGTGACTGCGTGCTTGCTGGCCTGGTCTGGCTGGCTCCACTGACCCCCAGCGCCGGCACACAGTAGGTCTTCAGTACGTGTTTGTTTGCGTGAGCCTTCCCTGGGAAAGGGCACTCACCATCACGGGGTGAGTTAGGAGGGGCTCCCTAGGGCCTGTGGGAACATGGGGAGCCAGAACTGAGAAGGCGGCCGGGAGCCAATTGTGAACTGTCCTAACTGGTGAGTTGGGGGCTGGGGTTCCAGGCCTGGGCCATTAGCGACGGCAGGAGAGGACATGGGGCGCTGGAGAAGTGGGCTGGCCCAGAACGACTGGCCCCGGTGCGGGGTGCGCTGCTGTGGGGGTCTAGGCAGAGGCAGACCCAGAGGCCTTGTAAATTCCGCCAAGGGAGTCCGTTGGCTTCTCCCGAGGCCTGGGCACTGCTGCCTTGTTTGGCTCGTGGGGACGGAGGGCTCGGTGGGCGGTTTGGGGTGCCCTTCAGGCTGCTGTGCGGAGGATGGGCAGCGGAGCAGGGTGAGCAGCTGGGCAGCTGCAACCTGATCTGGAAAGCACCCGCACCCCCACCCACCCAGCACACTCAGCTCTGCGCAGCTCCGGGGGATATGCCAGAGACCCCTCGCCGGGACTGAGCAGGGCGAAGGAGAGAGGTTAGGGGGAGGCAGTGAGGCCGGTGGGCTTGAGTCAGGGCGGGCGGCCGCCGGCAGGAGGCGAAGCCCGAGCGCAGGCAGCTCTTCCTGGGTGCGGGCTGGTGGGGCACCCATGGGTGTGCCCTGGTGAAGGCAGCACCGGCCCCCGTGAGCAGACTTGGGCCTGTCGCCCAGCGTGGCTGTCTCCAGGCTATGCGTGCCCTTGGCCGTCCCGTCGCACCCAGCAGTGCGCAGGAAAAGGAAAACTTGGACTTTCGTGGAGAAATGGACAGCAGAGGCTGAGCTGACAGAGCCATGTTGTACGAGGCTTTATAGAAAGAAAAGTGTGAGAGGGAGTTATTGTCAGATGTGGGTTTCCTGGGAAGAAAACGTTTGCAAGTTAAAGAAGTCTTTTAAGAAACATAGTTGTCAAGAAGGAAATGTGGGTGCTGGAGCTACTTTGGGAGCCTCGTTCACAGCGGGCAGAAGGTGAGGGGAGCGGAGAGACGCCCCTGGGCCCGGAGCCCGCGGCCCGAGCCTGCTCTGTGAGTGGGCCGTGGGGCCCGGTGAGCCCAGAGGAGCTGCCGCTTTGCCTCCAGACCCTTCCAGTTGTTTATAATAATCATCTCTCGAAAATTCAGAAGCCAATTTAAAACTGTGCTTAAACAATTTCAAGTGCTTACCTGGCGGGGGCGGGAGATGCGCTGACTTAGACCACAGCGCGCGCGGGCCGCAGCTAGATCCGTGGTCGGCACCTGCGCTTTCATCTTTCACATACTTAGCAAGCCACGCGCGCTCTGGGAAGGAGCTCACACTGGCTGCTGCTCTCATGTCAGCGCTGGAGACATTTGAAAAGCAGATTAGCCAAGGGATGAGTCCCGATTAAACCGCGCGGTGTTGCTGGTTGACAGACTTTCCTGGGGACGCTTGTGTTTCCACCTGTCCGCCGTGTGCCCTGGCCACTGCTCTCGCCGTCGGGGGGCCCAGGGGCTCGGTGGGGGCGAGTGGGAGCCGGCTGAGACTGGTTGGTGATGGTGCCCGAGCCTGAACTCAGCTCCTGTCCCCCGGGGCAGGGGCCGCCTCCGGGCTGGGTGGGACGCGAGCCTTTCCAGGAAGTGGTGCCAGCGTTCCCTTTTGTGCCCCAGGTTACCACACCACGGTCTTCGGCGTCTTCAGTGACTGCTTGCTGGACAACCTCCCGGGGGTGAAGACCAGCGGCTCCACCGTGGAAGTCATCCCTGCCCTGCCCAGACTCCAGATCAGCACGTCTCTGCCCAGGTGGGGGCAGTGCAGGGCTTCCGAAGGCACCTTGGCGAGAGGCGGCACCGAGGACTTGAGTGGTCGTAGTTGTGATCACGGGGGCGGGAGGCTTCCCCAGGCCGCCAGCAGGAACACGCTGCTTGGCTGAATTGGAACAGACTTGGGGTGTTGCTCCTCAGGATTACAACAAACTGTGACATTAGCCTTTGGAATCATACTTTTTCTGAAAAAAGGCTAAGCTTTTAGGGAATATGAGGAAAAGTTCTTAAAGAAGATTTTTTGACACTACAGGAAAGTATAAAGAAGAAAGGAAAATGACTCTCAGGTGGCCCCAGGCAGTGGTTCTGGACATGCTGTGGTTTTCCAGCAGGTGTGCGTCCTTTTATTCTAGACACATGTGTGTCTGAGTAGCTGAGGTGCACTACCTTAGTGTAGGGCCATCCAACTCCTTGGCACAGCCGTATGACACAAGCTGAAACATTTCTATCTTTTTTTTTTTTTTCAAAGATTTATTTATTTATGCGTACAAGTTCTGGAGTGTAAGCCAGAGGTGCGGGGAGGTGAGAGGATTCACCAGAGAGAGTGGGGAACAGAACAGGCAGACTGACTGAAATACACTGCTGAGGGGAGCCGTGGGCGAGGCAGGAGAGGTCTGCTGCGCCATGTGGTTTGCTCCCTGGCCAGCCAGGGATCGAACTCTTGCTGCAGTGGCTGGCCATAGCTTGATGGTGCAGTCTTTAACCCCTGCGCCACCAGGGAGGCCCAACATTTCTATTTTAATTGTTTCACAAAAGTGTATCATTCAGATATTTCCCCCTTGCATAACCATTTCCTTCCTCTTAGAATTTGGGATTGTCTTAATTTTTCCTCATGTGATTAATGCTTTAATGGACATCCTTTTGGCTGTTTTTGTGAAGCATATCTTGGGATTTTCTGACATGTTTCAAAGCTCACTGACCTGTTTAAAGGGCCTCTTCGGTAGCCAGGTATGGTGCCAGCTGCTGATCTGTTAGAATAAATGCGGGGCCAGGGCCTCCCTGCAGGCAGTTATGGCCACTGGAGAGACCGGCAGGTAGCCAGACCCTCCTGGGCCACCACGTTAGACTGATGGGGTCATTCAGGTGCTGAGGGAGGGATTTCTTCTACAAGGTGGCCTCGAGTGTAGTGTGAGGCAAGCAAGGAAGAATCGGCCTAGTATAATGGGTCGGCAGTAGGCTTCCCCGCAAACAGAGCTACTTTTTACCTGGACCTCAAGCCTGTTGTTTTTCTTGAATCAGTGAGAATGGCTCATTTACCTTTTCTTCTTAAATCTATGGATTTTCCCAAGACAATTCTGAGCAAGAGGTTTTTACTATTTTTTTAAGAGACATGCTCTCAGATCATTTGAATTAACTTTGTTTCTCTTTTGCCTGCACATCATCCAGCAGTTAAGTATTTTACAGCATCATGCAAGCAGGAGACACTGAGACCCCGGATGTGGGGCGGGGGGGAGTCACTGTGTGTCTGACACATCAGGGGCCGGGGAGGCGCCTGAGTTGGGGCTCACCCCCAATGGCCTGGTGCTGAAAGGTTCAAGGCCAGGTTTTCCTGGCTCTATTTCTGAAAGGCACAATTGTGGTGGGCCTCTGACTTGATGCAATTCTAAATGCCAAGTTTTACAATTTGTGTTCTTATTTATTACTGTTATTTTAGATCCGCACACTCACTGCAGCCTTCCTCAGGGGACGAAGTATCTACTAATGTGTCCGTCCAGCTGTACAATGGAGAAACGCAGCAACTTGTCATTAAATTGGAAAATATTGGCATGGAACCTTTGGAGAAACTGGAAGTCACGTCAAAAATTCTCACTACGAAAGGTGGGCATTTTTGAACAGTTCTTAACTGCGTTTTAACAGTAATTTAAACAGAAATGTTTATTCCCTTTAATTTGCAGTTTAAGTTCTGGCTGTCGCCCACCCACTCCCCGACCCCAGGCAGACAGTCCCAACTCCCCTGGCATGTTCCTCTCTGTAGAGTGTGGTCACACTTGGGTCATTATCCTTCCTGCCCCAAATTGTAATACTGCCTGCATCACGCCTCACAGCCTCCTCCCGGGCCTCCCTCCCAGGCACAGCGACTGCTTCCATGCCCACGATTCTGGAATGTTCTCCAAACTTTGCTCTATCATGTATTCAGTGCTTTGCTTTTTGGAGCGATTGGTGAGTCTCACTGTCTTGGTGAAGCGGCTTCAATCCCCATTGTTGCTGTCATTGTAGAAAAACTGTATGGCGACTTCTTGAGCTGGAAGCTGGAAGAGGCCCTTGCCCAGTTCCCTCTGCAGCCCGGGAAGGTGGCCACTTTCACCGTCAACATCAAAGTGAAGCTGGATTTCTCCTGCCAGGAGAGCCTCCTCCAAGACCTCAGTGACGGTAAGCGCCTTCCCAGCCTTGCCCGTCCTGGTCCCTGACGCATGGCTGCAGCCGTCAGCCCTGGCTGCTGCCCATCATCCACTGACCGGCTGCCGGACGCTTCTCCTGGTGCATGCTGCCGAGCAGGCTGCTGTGTGTAAGGGAGGTGTATAGCAGAACCGCTTTTCATCACACCGATGTCCTCAGCGACGGTGCTCCTGGTGGCGTCTCTGCCCTCAATCTGAGTGAAATTGCAGTGTGGGATTTGCCGTCTGGGGAGATACCTTCTCCTGTCTTAGACAAAACCAAATCGAAGAGCTCTAGGCTCTGGATTACCAAGGTCAAATTCGCTCCTGTGAGGCTGGCCTCATTTCCGGTCGCTTAGAGGAGCGCGTGCGAGTCAGACGGCTCCCTCCTATCGGTGCGCTTAATAGCAGCCTGGCCCGTGTGAGCAAATCCTAGCGTCTGATACTCGGAATCTTAGTGGCCATCATAGTGGGCAGGGTGGGCCCGGAGCCCATGGGGCAGGGGCAGCTGGCGCCTGCTTCTGTAGCCCAGCTGGGAGCCAGCAGGATGTGTGTAGCCTGAACTCAGTGGCAGAGGCTTCTCTGTAGCTCCTTGACCTGGGAGGTGGCCTGGGTGTGACTTACCCCCCTGGCAGCGTCAGAAACCCCCAGTGATGGCCCCCGCTGGCCCCGGCCTGTTTTTCAGGCTCGGGCTCACATCAAATATGGCTACTGGAACTGGATGCCACTTTTTCAGTGTGCAGCCATAAATAAGCGTCACGCCATCCAGGATACTGAATTCAGTGTGGACTGGAGACAGATGGGAGACAATTAGTATTTATTGAGCATTGTCAGAGACCACATGGAAGGTCTGGATTAGCCACTTTTGGAGTGTTATTTCTATTTAATATTCCCCAACAACCCTATAAAGTAGATGGTTTTGCAAAGATGATTCCTATTTTGTAAAAGCATGTGGGAGGACTATTCTACATTAAGGGAAATTGAAGAGTTATAACAATCAGATGCTATATGCAATCTTTAGTCATGTCCTCGGCTAAAAGAAAGTCTAAAGACATTTTTGGGACAATTGGCAAATTGAATATGTATTGTGTGGTATTTAATATCATTGTATCAATGACAAATTTCTTGGGAGTGACAAGGAAATTGAAACAGTAGCAGGATGTTCTTGTTCTTGGGGAGCATATGCTGAAGTATTTGAGGGTGAAATCTGATTATGCCTGCACTTTAATATGGTTCAGAAAAGTAAGAGTCTTGAATGTGAATAGAGAGAGGAATAAAATACATGTCAAATTATTAAAAATGAGGGACTTTGGATAAAGGGTGTAACTTCTTTGTGGATTTGCTTTTTTCAAATAAAAAGTTGGAGGAAGGGATGACTTTGTAGAGGCCTGCTTTGGCCCAGTAAGTCTCAATTTCCAAATGAGTCCTCGGAAAGTAGAGTGCCCCCCATTTCTCCAGCTCTACGGGAGGTTTTCTGTCTTCCACGCGCAACTGGCCGTGGGTTGAAGTCAACTGTTCATGTAGAAAATGGTGTATTCTTTTGCTACTTAAAATACCTAGAAATCTCTGATTTCTTGAATTTTCTGTTTAAGATACAGAAATCTTGGTAGGTGGTGGTGAATGTCGCAGGATTTGGACATCCCTGAGTTACCCCATAGAGTAGATGAGTAACTGGGAAAACCAAACACCCACAGGCACAGCATGCCTCCAAGCCAGATACCTGGGTGTCTCCCTGGGGCCCCGAACATAAGCAGATGCGGACACACTGGCTCCCTCTGGACCTGTATCTGCACCGTGCGGGGTGCGTGGGGCACGGTCACTGCCGGACGCGGGAGTCGCTGGGCGGCCGTGGGCCAGGCTGGAACGCGGAGGGGTTGGCACACTCTGAGGGAGGGATCGCGAGGGTTCCTGTAGACAGAGACCCGACTGGAGAGAAGCTGCTGGAGTAGATGGGGTGGGAGAGTAGGGACAAGGGGGGTCCGCTGAGAGAGGGGGCGCGCGCTCCCGAGAGCACAGGGAGAAGAGGCAGAGCGAGGGCCTAGGAAGCTGTCCCCTTCTCCTCTTCGACGCGCTCTTGTGAGCGGCCCCGGGTGAGGTCGAATCTGCTCAACGTGGATGTAAGGAAAACACAGTGAGGAGCAACGTGGCCTACGGACGGAGCGCGGGGCGCGGACAAACGTGCTCTAAAGCTGGTGAAACAGTAAAGTGCTTCAGAAGAAGCTGGAGTTGTTGAGGAGTGATGACAGGTTCGAGAAACAGCATCCGAAGTAGAAAAACTCAGAAACGAGCTGGGTGGCACTCAGGAGGGAATTAGAACTACAAGAAACAGTTTTTTTTCCCTTCCAGCAACGCAGTCTCCGTGAGTGGCTCTACCTCACAAATAATGCCTTAGGAGAAACAGGTGACAGGCCCAATAAAAAAGAATTGAGGTAAAAATGATTAAAGTGACATGTTTAGAAGACGGCCAAAGAAAAGCTGACATATACAAGGGCCCCCCTCACCCCCCATCCTCCCGTATCCTCTGCTATGGCGGCCCCCGAGTAGGGGAGTGGTGACGTGGTAAAAGGATCAATCAAAACTTTTCTGAAATTAATTAAAAATAAAGTCCTGGGAGGGGCAAATTCTGTGATTTCAGGTCAAAATAGCAAGTAGTTTATAAAGTAAAGACAGCCCGATCATCCCTGGCCTTTGGGACAGCGCCAGTGTAAGCCGGAAGAGCGACGCGTGCCTGACACACGTGTGGTGAGGAGTGAGCGGGCGAGCCGGGCGCGGAGGGCACAGGCCGCCCCACAGGGCTCGTGTCCTGGCGCTGCCTCCTTGGGCTCTGCTGGAGGAGGCACCAGGCTCCCCAGCGGGCCCCTGGGAGGAGGACATTGGGGCGCGTTTAACCTCCAGTGGCTTGTGCAGCTCGACCGTGCTGGGGGTCCCCCCACAGCGCAGCACCTGCAGTAACTGGAACGACGGGGGGAGGGGGCTGCATGCACAGGCGTTTTTCAAAAATTGTTTCGGTTTATGTTTGTCCCTGGCGTGGTTGAGGTAACTGGCCCGCAGTGTGGGTCTAGGGGTGCAGGCTCCAGACATGGCCTGTGGGGGATTGGTTGGCACACCGGGGCTGCTAGCGCCCCTTCACCGCATAGTCCCTTCTCCGTGTTGCACTTCTCTTGGGGGAGCAGGCGGAAGAGGCCCCCGTCATGGGGGCTGAACCTTGGCCCCATATCTCCCCCTCCTGGGCCTGAGCTTGACCAGGCTCGCCAGGCGCCTCCTGTGTGCAGCCCACGCAGAGGGGCTTGCTGAGATGCAGACTCCTGGCCACCCCGCTCTTCCAGAGTCACCTCTGCGGGCCCAGGCGGGTCTGTTTCTCTGACAGGTGCCCATGGTGGTTTCAGTGGTTTTATGCCAGCCCCTCAGCAAATAGGCTCAACAGTCGCCTTCAACATGTGGGCCATGCAGAACACTTGTGGTCCACAAAGGCCTCCCCTTGGCCACACCGCTTCCCTGCCAGGCTCCTGTCTTCCGTCTGTGAGGCTGTTCCTAACACTTTGTCCTCACCCTTGTGTCGCGTTTGTCCTAAATGATTTTCACAGCCCCTAAAACGAGAATCCCAGCGCTGTACTAATCTGGAATCTTTCTGCTCCTGTATTTTTCACTGGCTCCCTGACCTTTTCACCCAGCGGTCCCCAAAGCACCTCAAATTCAACCTCTGGAAACTGGTGGGTGCCGGCCACTGCCCGCCCACTGGTCTTTCCCTGCCTGCTCGGTTGACAGTCGCTCCCCTCCCCCGCTCAGCGCCAGGAAGAGACACTGAGGGTCCGTCGGGGCGGTGGAGATGGAGAGGTCGCCCGAGTGTCACCCGGGGTGGTGGCTGACGGGGACAGTTCAGGGGACAGCACCGATGACAGGAGCGAGCCAGGGCTGGGCAGGAGTGCCCATGCCCTGTGAGGCAGGAGTGGGGGCCCCCTTCCCTGCAGGCCGTCGCCAAGCACTTGAAGCGTTTGCAGCATGAGCTGGTCAAGCCGTTGCGCGTTCCTCTTAGAACTTACTCTGTCCCCACGGAAACATCATCTCCTCCTGCCGGAGATCTCCCTCGCGTATTGAGCTGAAGGGAAGTTGGAACTGGCTCAGTTCTTGGTCCCAAGCTGGAGACTTGTGTAAAAAACAACTGGATTTACATCTGGCGAGTCATTATGTTGTGCTTCTCCCTGATGTAGTGATAATGGCTCTTTCTCTTACTGTAGCCGGATCGGTTTATTCGAGAGCGGTCCCCAGGGAGCAGACACACGCGTCCCTCTCCCCTGCCAGCGTGCTCGGGAATGGGGCCGCTGGTTCAGCGTCTTCACTCTGGTCTGCTGCTCCCCTTGAAAAGAAAGACTAGTATTTGGAAATCTCTGTCTTATTTTATGAAGAACAGTGACTCATCTTGACTTACCCAGAAATCAAAGACAAAGGTAGTTGGACTCTTAATACAATAATATTTCTTTTTTTCTGTATATTTCCTAGATGCCCGAGGCTTTCACAAGTGTACGTTATTTAAAAAGGCCAGGGATTTTGTTCAAACTTCACTCTTTTCCTGAGGCCTGAGAGGATAGGGCTGGAAAGAGCCAGCAGTTTACTGGGGCAGGCTCTCAGGCCCCTCCCGCGGGGGCTTCTCTGGCCTCCGGGTCTGGGCTCCGCACCCCAGTGCGCACCTCCCTGCCAGCAGCAGTTCCCAGAGCGGTCACTGGTCTGTCTCCCCATGTGGTGCCCACCTTGCTGAACCCCAGCTCTAGCCTCAAGCCTGTGGTGAGCTCTGCCCAGGCTCACGTGGCTCCTGTTTCACCGGATGAGTTTCCTCCCTGACATCCTGCACTTCCTCTGCGCCCCCGTCCTTTCCAGACCTCATCTGCCTCTTCTGCTCAGACCACTTCAGTGACCACCTCCCACCCAGTGCAGTCCAGGCCACTCCCTGCGTCCTGGTAACCTCTGTCCCGAGGCTGGGTTTCCTCCAGAGCCTCGAGT